TATTCGCAAGTTGGAGGCTCAATTGAGTCAAGTGGTTGGAGCTTTTAATGCTCAACAATCCAATATTGATGATAGCAGCCAAGAAGAGCATGAATTTGAGGTATTAATTGGGGAGGTCAAAGTAGAACATCAACAACCTAGCCAACTAGAATTTGAAGATGTCAATATTGAAGAAGTGAGACTAGAGTCAGCCAAGGACATTGAGGATACAAATTTTGTCGACTCTAGTATCATTGATGTTGAGGATGCTGAAAGTCCTGAAGTTCATGTGTGTGAGCGCATTGGTCCTCACTCCAAACGTTTTTCTACATTGTGCTTGGATGACGATATGAAAATAGAGTCATCCGAGCCGATTGAGAAGTCAAGGAATGAGGAACAAGGTGCCTATATTCTAGAATTTTTCTTACTAGAAAGACAGGACTACATACCTCATCTAAAAGCCAAGAAGTGTAGAATAGTACAATGGTTGATTGGACCAATTAGATTTGTTCCTCCACCCTGGAGCATAGCCGAAAACTTGATGCCAAATTGGGGGTTCAATTCATAAGCTCGAGGTGGAGGCAAAAAAAAAAGTGATTCGCGTCGTACCCCGACGTTAAATCAAGCGCTTGTTGGGAGGCAACCCAACTTTACTGCTTTATTTTTTTTTTATTTTTTTTATTGTATTATTTTTGTAGTGTCAATTTGTGATTTTTTAGGAGCATGGATAGCAAAGCTATTGGAAGGATGCAACAGCAAACCAGATGGTTGGAACTAAGTGTGAGGTACCCGCACGAAGGACCAAGCTTGGGAGAAGTCTGAGTATCCCATGAATTGTTGATGCTTCGGCCTTTGGCCAACCAGGGAGTTTCTTTTATCCTCTTGTATGTATGGATGTGCATCGGGAACAATGCACAATTTTAAGTGTGGGTGAGAAGATTATCTGGGTGGCTTTCTATGCTATTTTAGTTGTGTTAGTTTAATTGAATAATCTTTTTTTAAATAGAAAAGATTGAACTTTTCCCGACGATGGATCTATTAGACAATTTTCTTGAGGGATTTAAGTCTAAAAAAAAGATTTTCTTTTGTTAGGTAGTGTAGCAATTCCCCCTTGGTTTTTCTTTGTGCCGTGGTTCTTTTCCAAGGGTTTTATTTGAACCGGGTGTAGTTAGTTTTTTTTGGGAGTAGGAGCCATTGTGTTGTGTTTTGAATTGAAGCAATATCTCTTGACTTGGTTATGCCTTGAGATCAGTGAGTACTTTGGTTGTGACGCTTAGGCTCAGTTTTTGACTCTTGTATAAGTACCTTAAATTGTATGATCTTAACTTTGCTTAACTACTTTGACTAGAGTGTCTTGATGAATCCAATCCTGAGTGAGTTATGTGCCATGTGTGTGTGAGATTTAGGTGTTATTCTGTGCATTGCATTTGATGCCTAGAACTTGCCCCGTGTGTTTGCAAAGCGAAATAATAGTTTTATTCAGTCTAGGAAGTGATATAGGCGTTTCTTTGTTGAGCCAGATATGTATATTTTACCCACCTAATTGTGATGTATCGTAGTTAACCCCTTTGAGCCTATAATCCTGTTTCTTTGGCAACCACATTACAAGCCTTACCCAATTATTTGAATTGACCATATATTTGAACCTTTTCACCTCTCACGAGCACTTGAATTGTTATGAACTTTGTAAAAGTTAAAGTGTGGGGTGGTTGGTTTGGCTTTTGAGTGGAACCAATGAAATAAGGAGAAAGGTGCACTGATTTGAAAGAGCAAGAGCCACTTTAATTGACAAAAAAAAAAGAAAAAAAATAGTTGTATTGCTGTGAAAAAATATTCTTTGATAGTGGTGACTCTTGATGTAATTATGCTTAAAGAAGTATGGGGTAATATACATTGATGTGAAGGTGGAGTTTGGTTTGACATAAGTATGAGGTTTGAATGTTAAAGTATATGTATTTAAGTGCTTAGGGAGGTGTAGTCACTCTTATATCTAAACATATCCTACCCGTCCCGTAGCCTACATTACAACCAAATAAGTCCTAATTGATCCTAGATGAATGAGCTCGATTAGTGGTGTAGTACACTATGGGCAAGCTTGTGGTGCATCTTTTGTGGCATATGAATGTTATTTCTGAGAGTGAGTGAATTCTTTCTATCTTGAGTTCCTAAGTGTTCTTAAATTTTATTGTGTGGGACTACTCTCATTGGTTGTGTGAGGGCACTTGATTCATGAAGGAAAGGTAATGTCATTGACCTCTATGTTAGAGTAAGTGGGCGAGTGATAATGCGTGGTACTTGTGAGTCAAATCTTGAGGTTAAGATGTTACGCTTTTCTGCTTAATCTATTTTAAATATTCCTGGCATAATGAATTAGGAGAGTTGTTTAAAAAGGTCGTGTCTATAAAAAGTGTAGTTTGATTGCTCGAGGACGAGCAATGGTTTAAGTGTGGGATGTTGATGTTAGGCTAGAAACCCGTGTTTTAGCTGTAGTATTACATGCCAATGACTGCATTTTTTACGTGTGTTTGAGTTCAAATGATAGTGAATTGCACTTAGTACGTGTTTTATGCCTTGCACGAAGTGATCCTGAGCTCAAAAGTTAATTTGGAGCTAAATTGATCAATTTGGAGCTTTGAAGTCTGAGTAAAAGCCCAATACATTAAGCCGGGATCGTGTTCGGAGGTCGTGTACCAAGTCCGGATGTTAAAAGAGCACGAAATAAGTTCACTTTGAGAAAATTACACTGCCGCGCCGCATGGGGCGCCGCAAGGCGCGACGCAGCAATGTAAAATGCTGCCTGATGCGAAAATATGAAGCTGCAGATAAAATGCACTACCGCACCGCATGGTGCGGCGCAGCCTGCGGCGCGGCTGTTCAATTTTTACATAGCTAAGTCCTAGTTCGCGCAGGAATGGGTTTTTTTCATCTGGGCCCGACCCTACTTGGTATAAATATATGTAAAAACGCTATTTTGAGAGGTTGGACATACTATTGACACAGGTTGGACAGATTTGAGACATAGATTCGACCTAAGGAGCCAAGAACACATTGGGAGCAAGGCGGAGAATTCTTCTACGAGTTTTTCCTTCCTCTTCCTATTTTTCATTGTTGGTTATGACTTTTAGTATTGTAGTTTTACATACTATTATGAATAACTAATTTGTTATCTAGAGTTTTGATAGAACCTTTTGTAGGATAAATTCTTGTTATGTTTTTATATAATTGAGCCGTAGCTTTTCTCTATTTGTTCAACTACGTTTATATTATGGTTGGTTGAAGAGCGCTCAATTAGCTGTGCCTATTTAGTATGTATTACTCGGGAGAGAGTGCATATTTAGGTAGTTGTTGAACAACATCACTCCCAAAGTATAAGAGGGATCTATAACTGCGGGTTTAAAGGCGGGATTAGGGATAACGAAGCCTTGGGTGCAATCTAAAGTGAGTTGTAATAAACAAAGTCAGCTAGCGTAACTCGGGAGAGTGCGTCTAATAAATTGTGGTAATTACTCGGGAGAGAGTTACAACAGTCAGAGCGTTCATGATCGTTAGAGAATACTTATGCGAATTTATAGAAAACGTAGCGGGAAGGATTCCGACAATTGTGGAAATCATAACTCTAGACCTCCTTAATCTTGACTCCAATCATTATCCTTGTTAATTGATAGTTTTACGGTTTTCTAGATTTGTTAGTTAAGTAGATAAAAATAAAATATCATAATCTTTATAATTAGAAAATTGTTTGGACTTGTGTTTGTTAGCGATATTGAACAACTATAGCTAAGTCTTAATTCTCTGTGGGATTCAGCTCCGGAATTGTAAACCGGATTATATTTGCAGCGATCGCTTATCCTTTTTAGGACTAGAGTTGGACGTGATAAGTATGCTAATGCAGATTTGCTTTCGAGCATGCCCTAGCTTCACGTGATTAGCTGCCACCTATGTTCCGACTTCTGAGTGAAATAGAGCGTAGAATTTTACTCTGGCTTATTCAATGGTTGAGTTGCCGCATGGGAGAAATGTCCTATCTTATACTTTCTATTTTCTCGTTTTATTAGTCGTACTTTAACTTAGTACAATTATCAAGAGAAGAGTGGAAAAAAGTTACGTAATTGTTTAATATTTGTTGAGACACATGTGGGATTGCCTTCTTAACTTTTTGCACTATACAATGACCGATTAAGAATAAAGTTATACGAATCCTGTTAGACAAAAACTTTCTATTTAAGTGAAAAATGATAGAGAGGCGGTCTTATTGTTCATCAAGTTTTAAACCATGGGCTAATGGCTCTACAAGATTTCTCGGTTATAAAAAAACAAAATTAAATCAAAAAGAATAAAAGTGAGTCTCATGAAGTTCACAGTCACATAATTTGGACAACCAAAAAGAAAAAGACGGGACAATCGTTTACGAGAAAGGCGAGAGGAAGTCACAATCTTAACCTAAACAGATGCTCACCTAATCGCATAAACTAAAGATAACTAATGGATGTATAATATATACATAATCTATATAAAATATGTGTATAATAGTACTTAATCAGTATATAATGTATGTATACTAGCTAAATAAAGTAAACAATCCGGCAACTACGATGAGCAGAAGGAAGCAGAGTGGTAGGGAAGTGTTACAAGTTATATCACACTTGATCTAACTTCTGCTAGTGAGACTTAGAACTCAACTCGGGCGGGAGTGTCTGGAGTCAATTTCTTTGATGTCCTAGTAACTATGTCATAAACAGGGTTTCATAAAGGCTTGGACTATACTTATCTACATGCCACAAATCTGTTACTTATTGCACCCAAAGGTGGCCAAATTGTCAATGAAGTGACTCAACCATGGATTCAAAACCTTATTGGGCAATGCTACGCGTCCATGCTAGTAAAAGATGAGCAGAATAGTCGAGGAGCTCCTAAGCTAGTCCGGATACTACTGTTATAAGCAAGAAAAACAAAAACAAAAAATAAACGTAAAATGTACTTCAGACAGTCCGGATATGCAAGCTCTCGCCACTAAGTAGTAAACACCCAAAGATTATTACTGATCCTGCTGTCACAGTACTTGGTCCCAAGCCATTGGTAAAGTACAATCAAGCTCAAGTAAAGTAGTCAAGAAATATAAGAGAAACATAAAATCCAGTCGTATGTTCTATATATACATTTTTATGGATTTTTCAGAACTTCTAAGGAGCCTTAAAGTGCCCAAAAAAAAGGCATTTTGACCCACGGTATACTAGTGTGGCAGAAGAATCACAGCATACTTGTTTATGAGAACAGTTATAATCCTGTTGACTGTCTTAGACCATGCGCCGTCCTTAAACTGAATTGGCACCAAAATATTTGACCAGTAAACAAAGTATTATTCAACAACTTGGCTACTCGAGAAGTTCACCTTCCAACCCAAGGTATAGGAAAATGTAAAAAGGAGAGAGTAAAGGGTCTTGAACAGAGGTCGCCGTTGCAATCCAACCATAAATTGCAACAAAGCACCTGCAGAAGCAAAGAAGTAATAAACCTCACGGACTGGAAAAGTAGGGAAAAAACACTACTACTACAACCAGACAACGATAAAGAGGGAAAAGAAAACAATTATTTTCATGTTACAACAAATAAATGTATATGTGAAAAAAAAAACCTCGATTCCCCACCCTTTTTTTCCTTTCAAGTACAGACAAACAAGAAATGCTTTGAAACTGTTTTTCTTAGCTGAAAGACCCATCCCCACCCCACCCCACCCCCCACCCCCTTTTTTTTTTTTGGTAGAAATCACCCATTCCCCACTCTTGAACTGGAAGATACCAGACAAATTGGTAACGATACTGTGATCTCTCAATTATTGTCACCTTGATAACAATATGAACAACTATGATAAAAGTGAATGGGAAGCTAGTGACCGCAGTTCATAAACAGATCAGCAGAAGAGCTCTCTGTTTAGAACACATCACTCATCAACTAATATGATGTCTGATACAGTTGTGCTGCTCTTTACTATTAGTTTCCTCACCAAAGAAGCTTTACATTGATGACCCTCAAAATCATCTAACGCAACACCTAACGTGTTCCTCTTCGAGCCCCCATCCACACACAAACACAAACCAAAGAAGAAGGTCCATAATCGATTTCCCCTTTTAATACTTTTTGCTGTTAAACGGCTTTTTGTGATTATGTTTCAGATGATCCCCTAGTAGTAATTGAATTGCTGAATACTAGAGACTGCATATTGAATCAGCAATGTACCTGTACACAATATAAACCAGCAATAAACTTTCTCAGCTGCCAAGGAGAACTCTCTTTGGGTCAAGCTGGCCACTGCAATAACTTGATGGAACAGCAGAAAGTTCCTGTCTTCCTCTCCACTCTTCACCAGGTTTCAAAGTGATAGGTTTTTCAACTGCAGCAGCCTCAACACACAGCATGTGCTTGTACTCTTCATCTCCAAAATCAGCCATGGCCTTTGCCTTCTTGTCCCAAGGGTTCCACACAACTGGGAAGAAGAAATTACAGAAAGAAGTTACTTTCCATTATGAAAAGCCAAAGAACTACAGTGAAAAGTTAATAATGCTGGATACTCCACTTCATACGTTCTACAAATGTTGAGTTTCTACATGGCAGAACAATTTTTTTTTTTTTTGAGAAGGAACATGCTAGAACAATTTTGTCAAGATATACTTAAGAATGGCATGGGAGGAAAAGAGTTCTGAGAAGATCAAGCTCTTATCCATATGAAGCACAAAATAGTGACTCTTTCACGAAGACTGACATGGGTGAAAATGTACACCTAGATAATTGAGTTTCCTAACCCATTAGAAGCACAAAACAATGATTTTTCCCTTGTTGCAACCAGGAAAATATGCATATATTTGGTTCCTATCCCAATGAGAATAAGCAATCAGTAAACCAATTTACTCTTTACATAGATGAAACTCATTGCCCACAGGAAAGCTCTGAAGATTGTCAATTACCTGCATCCGGTAACCCATCCTTACGGAGCACAAATGTTCGTTTCTTTTCATGATCCAGGATCGCAATTTTTGTGGGAGTACTGAGATATATTTTATCCACCTAATGAACACGGCAGAAACAACATAAGAAACAAATGATATGTGCCAAGCAATGCAAGGAAATAGTCGAAGCATCAAATGATAAGATGTTTACTTCAGACTCAAAGGTAATTGCATCGCCTTGCTCTGTGAATCTCTCCTTATTCTCAAGATAATCAAGTGTCTCTAGCCCTTCAACACGGACTTCACTGTTAAAAGAAAAGGAGAAATGATGTGAAGAGCTCAAAAATCAACCCCAGGATAATACAGTCTTAGAAATGTTTTTATCCTTTAACTAGCAGGTCAATAAACTAGGAACAGTATTTAGACTCCTCCCCAGGTTAACAAAACTCAATGGACCTCTTCTTTAACAGCCCAACCCGCTAGTGATATTGTTCGCTCTGGGCCTAGGCCCTCACAGGTTTAAAACGCGTCACTAGGGTCTAAGGCTTGTTAACTTATATACCCAGCATCCTCCTATGTTTTGCCGATGTGGGACTCTGTTTAAAGTCAAGGGTATTACATACACCCCCTCTTATGGACTCAGCGTCCTCGCTGAGGTTTGCCCCACCGCATGGGATTTGCCTAGACTCAGCACTGAGGTTTGCCCCGCGTAACCGGGATTTGCCTAAACTCTGTTGAACTCTGACCCACCATCGACAAGGCTGACACAAGAGTAACTCTGATACCATCTGTAACAGCCCGGCCCGCTAGTGATATTGTCCGCTATGGGCCTAGGCCCTCATGGGTTTAACACGCATCACTAGGGTCAAAGACTTGTTAACTTATATACCCAGCATCCTTCTTGTGTTTTGCCGATGTGGGACACTGTCTAAAGTCTGGGGTGTTACA